TTTTTTTTTTTTTTTTTTTTTCTATTTCATCAGGTACCACGGAATATTAATATTCTGCGACTGGACTGTAATTTGTGAACGATTGTAGCAATTATAATTTTCTTTCGTCATCGCTCTGATGGGAACTAGGTTGTACCGTTGCTTACGGCGTAATTTATAGTTAACTCTGTTTTTTTTTTTTTTTTTTTTCAATCGAAGTATGCGGCAATAAAGTACTAATTACAGCTCACGCGAGTGTCCACATTTTCGCGATTAATTTGATTTAAAACGAGAATTTGACGCGAAGAGAGAGATACAAAAAGTAAAGTTACAAGCGTGAAATGTAATATATTTTATTATAATCTCATGTTAATTTGTCATTTTATCATTAATAATTAAAACTGTTTTATATAATAAATAAAGTGTTTCAAAGGAATTACATTTGATTCGCTTTTTAAATTTAAATATGGCCGCCTTTACATCGATAGCGTCACGGCGTAGAGTTCAGATGGCGGCAACTTCAAGCTGATCGAGAATTGTTCGTTGTATGTAAAGACGTTATTTGCGCAAAAGAGTTCAATTTGTTGTTATTGTTGTACCAGTATATATTTAAACACATAATGTCGACGAAATCCTCCGTCGATTTGCGAGCCGAACTCGCTGAATTAGTGAAAAGAAAAGCAGAAATAGCCGTAAGTACTGAAGCAATTGTCAAACTGTCTTTTCTAATACATTTCCATTTAGATTTCCATCGTACATTATTGTTGTTGGGTACAAACAATGTTATTGTTATTATTGCAAAAGAGTACAGTTTATCAGCTGAATTATCAGGTTAAGTTTCTGTTACAAACTGTTTGTACTTTTTTTTGGACATTGTGAGGTTATGTCGACCTTTTAATTTTTTTCATAATAATTAATGTTTTTACTTCCTCTCTTTTCTGAATTATTAACTATTACTAAAATATTCTTGTGAATTGAATCGAAAATGTTTCAAGTTATTTTCCTATAACCTCAATGTCTGGATTTTCATATTATTTAAATATACTATGTATTTATATTAATTGTATTTGGTATCATTACAGATCTCTTTGAAGAATAGAATAGTTTTCTTTTCTGTTTTATGTCGTCTTTTGCATAGGATTGAAGATAATTGTTTTCTGCTTATGTATTACAATTTATTTCATTTAACAAACTTGCATATATTTTTTACTGTTGAATATATTTTTTAATATTGTTTAAAACAATCTATACTATATTATGCTAACATACGAATAATACTAATGTATCTGTTTAATGTTTTAAATAATATTTGTAACATTACATTGATTTCCTTGTTAACATTGTATGATATATTAAAAAATAAATCTGTTTAGATAATAAATTAGTGTTTCAAGTTTCTCATTTTCATCTATACAAGGATTTATAAAAACTTATAAATTTTCAATATTTACAAAAGAGCGGTGAAATTTTAACGAGTATAACTACTGTCTTTTTTGTAGTATTGAGATTATTCTTTTTTTTTTTTGAACTAAATATCAAGATTAATTTATTTCGTATCCTTTATAAGATGTTACAATTTTGCAGGACACTCTCGCCAATTTAGAACGCCAGATCTATGCATTCGAAGGTAGTTATTTGGAAGATACACAATTGTATGGTAATATAATACGTGGTTGGGACAGATATTTAGCCAGCAATAAAAATACTAATAGTAAAGCAGATAAACGAAATAGGAAATTCAAAGAAGCTGAGAGGCTATTTTCTAAATCTTCTATCACCTCTATGGCTGTTAGTACATTTTATTTTATAATGTTTCAAAGTAAACCTTTTCAAAGTAAACAGAGACACTTTTACTTTCAGAGTTTTTTTTCATTCAAAATATTAATCAGAGAAAATCAATTAAAAGTTGTAGCATTTAGAAAAAAGTATAAATTTGGTGAAATTATAATAAAAATTTCATTGTTTTCAATACGTGTGAACTAGAAAGACTGAGTAATGGTGCAAACATTTTATTGAATCTCAATAAATTGAAAGTACTATGTTTTTGCAGGCAGTCAGTGGACTCGTCGAGAACACCCAGGAAAAAAGTAAGGACCTCAATGGATATTCCTGAGATAGTTAATTCTTTAAAGAAAAAAAGAGTACAACTTATTTTTCATCCTATCATCCTTTCCAACTTTTCTTTTTGTCCACTCTCCTTGGAAATAATTCTTTTTTAGTTTTTAAGTTGTATCCTTGATTGTATATTTCTTTTTCTTTTCAATGTATTGATCAAACTGGCTTCCGAAAGAAAGAAAAAACGAGCATAATAAATGAGAATTG